CCCCCCCCCCCCCCCAACATTTTTTTTCTATGTACAAATCTGTGGTAATTAACCCAAACAGTGGTCATTAATGGGATTTCCAGAACAAAGACCATGTTGGTTGCATAGAGCTCTTTCTATTCCTCTTATATACATGCAACAACTCCGCAGTGGTCTCATTCCTTAAATTTCTACTCCCAAGTACCTTGCATCCAGTGTGAGCCCGGGTCTTCATGAGGGGTGTTGTGGTGCACAGCTCAATGGCTTCTGGTTCGTGGAAGATCACTGTCGGGAGAGGCTCCTTCCGAAGAGTTAGGACATTCAGCTTGGTCTTTAACATGGTCTGAAAGTGCTGAGCAGAGAAAGAAAAAGCAATTATCTCGAGTTCTGGTTGCAGAAAAATGAGAATTAATAGTTGAACCAGTCTATGCATTTCATTTAATATTCAGTGGCTTGAAAGTTTCCATGGGGAGAGTTTAAAAGTTTCATAACTTAAAAAAAATTAAGGAAAGCTGTCCATTATTACTATTAGCAGTGTGGAGAATCTTTTTAAATTAAAAAGATACAAACACACACACAATATTAGATGATTTTTGAACTGAGAAAACATTTCCAAATTTGCCTAATCATCATTAGAATCCATATGTCCCAAAAAGGGTCTAAATTCAACTTTAATCACTCCCAGGCACCTTATAAAAACTGCTCATACACCCAGTCCCGCTATTAATTACAATATGGAGGGACGAAGAAGAGATCAAAGAACAAGTTTAATCCTTTCTCATTTTCTTTCCTCTGTACTTTAACCTCATCCAATTGATGTAAACAGAAGTATTGCTCTCATCAAGCTGAGTGCCTCGTTGGTTTTCCTTTAGTCTATGAATTTAAAAATATCTTTGTAAGCAGTTGTTCCCCTGGTTTCCACTGCAAATGCCTCTACTTGTACACAACTAATAGATGTCACCAAAAACTTGCCATTTGTCATAACAAACAAAAAAAACCACCAGAACTTGAAAGACAAACTATGTAAATGAACATTAACATTGCTGAATGAAAAACTTCTCAGGAATTACATAAGTGAAGAAGGTCAGTCCATGAAAGATTTCTATATCAATTTGGTGGAATCAGAAGAGTCAGAGAAAATTTTCAACATTTTAATAAAATAGTCTAGCTTCAAATCTTTGTACTGTGTGGTACAAAGGTGTTTGCACTTCTCCCTTGTGACCAGCAGTAAGGCCCAAAGGAACAGCACAGAAGTGTATCAGGGAGGGCCAGATTGGGCAGCAGCCATGGTCTCAAGCTGCCAGAGTTCAGCAGTGCTCTCAGACAGTGAATTTTTCGGGGTGGATCTCCATAGAGCCAGAAGTTGGACATGATGATCCCTGTGAGTCCCTTTCAAAGCAGGATATTCTATTTGGATGCATCTTTAAACTGTCTTTGATGTGAGAAACTGAACGTGTTCACTTGCTGCAGTGTACCTAAGGGGTAAAACATGCAGACATGAAACAAATCAATGTCACATTGCAGCTAGAAATATACCACAGCTCTGTCTAAAAAAGTGTGCTTTTGTTGAAGCTTCATAACTTGACTCTTACATATCAGCAATTATTAGATGTGCAATGACTCCAAATTACATTTATCAAAACCAAACCGTATGCTCTGAGTATTGTTGGGAGATTCTTGAATTGTTTTGCAGTCACTCCTTTCCTTTGCCTCCCCTTCACCTCTGCCAGGCAGAAGAACAATATGGGTTCTGGTTTGTAGAAAGAGAGATGCTAAGTGATTTCCCAGAACCATACAAGAAAGCCATATCAGAGCTTGAAACTCAGGTCCTTGCTTTTCAAATCAGTGCTTTAGGTGATGAGAATGCTTATTAAATATTTTTTTTATACACAGGGCACAAATCCAACTATTCAGATTTTACAATGCTTTCATACAGATTTTTGCGGATTTGAGTTTTCCACTGAAAATTAATGAGAATTTCTTGGAAATACAACTCCTATATAATCCATAAACACTTATTAGCTAACTGACAGCCTGTTAAAACAATATGCTTCTGAAACAGTTTAAACCTAACCTCATCGGTGTTTGGATCTAATAATTGTTACGATCCTGGATCAACAGCATTTTCAACACTCTTGTAAGCATATTCAACATATAAACACTAACAGCCTGTGAAAATAATCTTGCTTTCTTACCTCACGCATGAAGTTACAGCCTGTTACAATGACTTCAGGGCCCCTGTGCAGTTTACGCAAGCATTCAAGCTTCCCGTGAAAAAGAAATCTACTCATACTGTTTTGCATCTGGCTCGTATTACATGTTATCCCATTCACTCTCCCAAACACATCTCAAGCAAAAAAGGGCTCTGTTTAAAATGATTATGCATTGAAGAATGTTCTTTGACACATGTTTCTGAAGATAACAGTGCACTCTGCCAGCCAGGATTACTGAGCTCACGGAGAAAACCTATTTCATGTCACTTTTCAGTTCCCATTAGCAGCTTTTTGTTTGGAGTTTCCTAGGCTTCTCTGGTGAAGCTGTTAGCAAAGGCCAAACAACGGCTTGCCAGCCCCAACACGCACAAAGTGAGCTCAGAGCCTGAGATCCAGGGTTGATTACCTGCTGATGACCAACCACAGCGCTGGGCCTGCTGGGCCCATCAAGGAACTGCTGTCTGCTGCAAATGCAGCTCCCTCCAACAGCTTGTCTAGCTCTTATATACAGGCTGTAGATCTGCTGCCATGCTGAGGAGATTATCTTTCTAGAGAAAACAAGTAGGAAGACTGCAATGGAGACCAACTATGCAGGCCAAGGTGACCTTTGCCTGGGACCAGCCCCCTGGGGAGCCACAGCCCCACACCGAGCACAGGGAAACCATGGCATCCTCAGCAGCGTGCACAAGAAGGTAGAAAACTCACCAAAATGTATGTTTGAACTACAGTTGTACTATTTTGCAAGTGGGATATTGGATCAAAACAGAGCTAATGGTTGGGAAACACCCAACTGAAGAAGATTCTATCCCAGCATTTAATTTCTCCTTCGCCATGTTCTGAAAAGGCTCAATTTCCATTGGTGAACTGTACACAGAAGTTCTCAAATAAAGAACACTGCTTCCATTAAATATTCAAGAGATGAAAACACTCAATTTGGGCCCTGAATATTGAGTTGGTTTTCCAGTACAGTTCCTCTCCTCTGCTAGCATCTCTATCAACTTTAGTGGGACTACCGACAACGTTATGCAGATCACATTTTGACCAAAACGCAGAAAGCTATGATGACAATCCATATTTTTCATGTTTTAACAACCACATATACAGTCTTAAACAAGAAAAAGACAACTCTCCACCTTCCAAAGGCAATTCAATAGTTGCATGAGCAGCAACTTGGAGTGGTTGAGTGCCAAAAACTCTAGAGCACAATTGGCAGCAGATAAGTAACTGGTTGCCAGAGAAGTGCAGGGCCGGGTGGGGGTGGACACAGAAATATCCTTTTGCTATGGACTGCGTAGCTGGTGCAGACAATGCTGCACTCCCTGCACACAGATCATATGATGGCTGCCATAAGAAAATCAAGAGTCTGCCAGGAGACATCATGCAGTGAGACCCCAAATAAGCAAGTTATTTAAACACGTGCCTAGCTTTCACTATGTGAGCAGTCCCAGTAAAGCACACGTGGGTAGTCAATGGGATTATTCATGTGTTTTAAGCCAAGAACAGGATAAAGTGCTTCGCTCAATCCATTTCTTAGTTTCCACTCCAAACTGGCATCTCCTCCGGAAACCGTTGGCAAATGTTGACATATAACAGTAGCCAATGGTTCTTTTGTTTTGTTTTTTGGGACTACTTTTGTTGTTTGGTGGTGGGTTTTTTTGGTTTTTTTGGTTTTTTTTGTTTTTTTTTGTTTTTTTTTTTTTGAGGAAAAAGGCTTTAGCTCTCCACTATTGTGAACCCAGAATATTTCTTTGAAGTGTTTTAAGTTCAAAAAGTTCTTGAAAAGTGTGACTTTGGAATTTCAGCAAATAAATTTTCAGGGAACATTATACCATTCACATTTTATTTGCCAGAATCACTAAGTTCACTTACACTGAACATCATCAAAAGAACAGAATCTTACCTGGCATAAATACATAAATTCAAAACTACACATTATTTGTCCTTCATCCAGTTAGATGGTGCTACTAACACAGACTATGTTTGAAAGAAACGTTAGAAGCAATGTAAAAATAAAAAAAATTAGCAACAAGTTTTAAAATTCATTGAACAAACAAAGTAGCTCATTCAACAAAGAAAGGATCGGAGTGGTAATTAGCATTGTACTTGCTGAACAAGAAACCATTCAGCGTAAGATTTAAGTAAAGCTCCTACTAATATTAGAAAACTGTCTTCATTGAAAACCATGGTTTTGCCTATTGAATGGATTCAACTTCCATCATTTTTATTGCTTAGTTTAGCAGTTCTAATGGTGTTTTCTTCCACAGAGGAAATGGATACAACAGCGTATAACTGGTATACCAAACCCTCAGCAAGCCATGGTAGTTCCTGCAGAGGAAAAGCAGACTTGTGACCTTCAAAGTGCTCCCTATTCACATGAAATGCCCATCATCACTAACCCTCTTAGCTACAAGTTAATTCAACATGAGAATCAAGTATTTCTGATTCATTTCTCAACATTCATTTTATCAACTCAACAGTCATATATTAGCTCTAGGATAACTATCCTATAGAATTTGCAAATTGAATGCTAGGTACTATGCATTTAATCTAAGCATAATTTTTGTTGCTGCTAAAAATAAAAATTCACAGCATTTTGGTTTGTCAACAAAAATACAGCCTTTCCCACAACTCAGGCCAAATGGCTTGGAGAAAACAACTATGACACTGTACAGTTAAATGTGTCATTGAGGAAAAAAGCAAGCATTGACAATCTGTAATAATAACGCTTAATACTTCTTCACTGCTCTTCATCTTCAGGTCACAACTAAACAGTCACTGTTGTCCACAGTATTGAGTACTGAGACTGAGCTGGACATTTTTATTTTCTACCAGGCAGTGGGAATAAAATAGACTCCCATTTAATAAACAGAACTAAGAAAGAGTTACGTGTTGAACGTGAATATGTATTTTAAAATTTCCCAAAAGATGGCCTGAAATTTATGATAGTCTATAATACAGCAATAAGGGATGAGCAAAATAGACACAGTTTACAGACTACAGGGGTTGTGACATTGTGAAAGTAAGTCACAAAGTTTTCACCCCTTGGCCTTCAGCCCCCATTATCTCCTAACATCAGTGTTATAACCAACATTCAGCTTCATCAGGAAGCACTACTTTTCCAGATGACCTATACTTACTT